ATTGCAGGTGGGAACACTTGCAGATCCGTTAGCTCTTCCTCTGGATAAACGGAGTGCTTGCAAGCAGAAACCCGAGTGCTCCCTCGCTGGGGCAGCTATTACCTGTTTTCAGAATGAATTAATTACCACCGTCTTACGACAGCATATTTCGGTATAACTGATAAATTAATATCACCACTATTATTTTGCCTGAAAGGCTGTGGATTGCCAGCTGCCCTGAAATAGCAATAAGTAACACAAGAAGTACTCTGCTGATAGCAAGGAATTTTTACTTCCAAAGCTTCCAGGGGAAAATTCGCATCGCTTTGCTTTGAGATGGCGTTCCTGCTGCAGGGAGTTGTGAGCTGGCCACGGCCTGCTGCAAGGGCGGCGTCTGATCGATGGCTTACGGAAACTGTTGACATATGCAAAAAGCAATTAAAGCCTGTAGATGAATTCATATTGATAATTTTGATAACCTTTCATGTGAGGTAACTTTACATCGTTTTATTTGCTATTCCTACAGTTGCGGATGGGGACGTTTTTGCCAGTTTATGTCTTTCAGTCTTTCTTTAGCGTTATACTTGTTCTGTATCTTGCCCTGGGTTACATTTATGAAGGAGCCAAGCAGTTTAGAAAATCTGACTTCAGGGGATGTTCTAAGGATGCAAAAATAAATGTTCATAGTGGGCTTTACTCGACCCTCTTTTTTTTTCCCTCTCCTTTTACTTGTAAAAGACTGTTTTGCTACATCATTATCCCTAGAAGTCTAACAAGGTCTGTAATTACTAGCTGGCACGGTATGTTCCCTTTATGGTTATTAATAGTTCATCTCCTAATGGACAAATATTTACACTGCGTGTGTCAGCTCCTTTAGTTTGTCTTACTGTGTAGAAGCCAAGAGCGGAGCTGGTCGTGGAGTACGAGCTGCTTCCCCGTCAGAGCTGAGGGGCTCTACCAGACCACGACGACTGCCAAGCTGTCAGTGTTTCACCCTGCTCAGGAAGCAGCAAATCCATCTAAATGTACTTCCCACCTACGGAGCCCGTTTGTGAGGAAGCCCAGAGGGCAAGTCTTTCTTTAGGAAACGAATAGCCATAGCTAAGCAGTTTGACTGCTCTGTATTTATAAATCTGTGAAGAGCTAATGCTTTCCACACCGTCTCTCATGCCTTTCTCCTCAAATAAAAGATCTTTTCAGCATTTTAATTACCTTTTTTTTTTGTTCTTAGCATATAGCTTAAGTTTTATTGAGAAGTGCAGTAAGTGTCACCAGAGAACAAGTGATGACTTGAGCGTAGCTTCATTTCCACCCAGGGTACAGCATGAATCTTTGCTGAAAGCAGCACAACTCAGCTGAGAGCAAGGACAGGTCTTAGCTAATTTGGACAACTTGAGAAGCTGAAGTGTGTCACTGCTGCCTCTGGGATTTGAGTGGAAAAAAAAATACTAAAGAATCAAAAAACTTAATAGGTTGCAGAATTTGTGAAACAGCATCTGAAACTTCTCCACAGCTATCGGGTTGCTCTGCGAGGCAAGAGGTGTACGATCGTGCCAGGCTCCTGGTTTGTAACACAAGTTCTCTGTTCCCCATCGACCCTGCTGAGACACCAAATGGATTTCCTCTTCAGACAGACAGAATATTTCACGCATAAAGATGCTAAAGAATGAGTTTTTAGTCAACTGTGTCACCTTACTCAGTTGGCAAAAAAAAAAAAGAAACTGGCTGAAGTGTTGGGTCTTTGAAAATAGGTGGTGCTTCTGCTGTCTGTGCTAACACGGCGAGCAGATCGCTTGGACAGGTCTCTGCTTTCTAACTCGTACATAAAGGGCAATGAAGACGCTGCACGGGTTACACTTCTTCAATCTATTCCTTAAGAACCTTTGAGTACCTCAGATCAAAATTTTGGGTGGCTGAAGTGTTGATTTTGCTTACCTGTTTCAGAAAGGCACCGCAAAGATTATCTATGGTTTTCATTCGGCGAATTATAGTCTCCAAAATCATTCTCGATAAAGATTTTGATTAGGAGAATCACTCTGGTTTTGAAAAATGGGAATATTGGTACATATGGTATTTCTACTTTACAGGCTGATGTTTGGACAGATTAATTGGTTGCCATAGCGTGGGTCAGAATTTTAGAAGCTCGACTCTTTCACAGCAGACTTGACCCCGATTGAACAAAAAGCCCTGCGTATGCCCATGTGTCTGCGCTGTTTCCCATTCTTTCTTGCCTTTTGAAAATTGATCTGCAGCACACGGAGCGAAAGAGCAGCAGTTATGCAGAGCTGGTTCTTGTCTGCAGATGCCCAAATGCCATCGGACCAATGTGCTCCATCAGCCCATGGCTAGCATGGAATCTGCACGAGCACGTGTCTCACTTCGGAGGATTTTAAAGAAGTGGTTATGCCCAATTAAGTGTAAACTAAACGAGTATTGGAAAATGATGCCTTGTTAGAATAGTTCTAGATCTTGAGATGCAAAGACCTTACTTTAGAGTTGTTTTTCAGTGTAACATTCACTGCCTAGAGCAGAAGTTACCACATTTTTCCATCCGGAGGTTAAGATCTGCGGTGCAGAAGACTGCATGTTTCTTTTTCTGTTGGGGTCATTTGGGTTTTTTGCAGGTAGCCTCTCTACTTACACGTGGTGACTTTCTCTGTTCCCAGTTTGACCTTTTTGCTCTGAAGCAGAAAGATGTATGGGGAGAAACACAGCGGGTTCAGGATGCTTTGGCTCACCAACAGGCGGTGTCTTTGTGCCCCATGGCAGCAAACGCTGCCTACTGCAGCCAAATGGTCACGTTTTTCCATTTGGAGCTATTCTGCCGTCTGTGGTGGATGGTTATGAGCCACAGGAAGGATGGGTTTTGCCTAAATGTAAAAGAAAGAATAATTACCCCAACTTGCTTCCACGGAGCTTGACTCCAAGCTGGCGGATGTGAACCCAAGACTCTGAAGTGTCCATCACAGCTTGGTCTGTTGCAAGTTGCTGGGTTTGGTGTCTGGTATTGTTATGGTAAATACACTTAAATACTGTTAACTGTATGTGAGTTAAAACTATGGCTGGTGCTACCAGAGTCATAAATTTGTCCAAATCCAGAGATCTGTCGAACTTTGACAGCCCTTCATTGGTTTTTTTCAAAATGATATAGAAATTAACTTTACCGATTCACCACCTGAGTCATTTCCTTGGTCTCCCCAGGTAGCTGCAATTAACCCAAACCATCCCCTTGCTCAAATGCCTTTGCCTCCCTCGATGAAGAACTGCATTCAGCTGGCAGCCTGCGAAGCCAACGAGTTGCTACCCATGATCCCTGACCTGCCAGCCGACCTTTTCACATCATGCCTTACTACGCCGATCAAAATTGCTCTGAGATGGTGAGTGTCTTCCCTGCTGTTGAAGGCAAGCGCGTGATTTGTGTAGCTTGTTTGTTGAAGTGATGGATTTGTTAATCCAAATGCTTCATCTGACCTAAAGTTTCTCTGCAATATTGAATTACAGGATTTGAACTATGCATTTGGGACAGCGTTTTATTAATCAGAACTCGAAAGGTGAAAATATTGTTATCTTCTACTTATTACATTTTAGATTCCAGCTCAATAGCTAGGTTTGCTCAGATTAAGGGATTTACTGTTCTGGGAATTAAATATCTGCTTCTTCAGAGAGCAGAAATAGCATGTAGCACGATACAACTTTTTGTAAGTTGTCCTTTGTACAAATCATATTCCAAGTATTGCAGTTGCTGTAAATAATACAGCAGCATTAAATAACGCTGTAGTGAAAGAAATTGAGCAATAAATCAGAGAGAGACGTTACGGAATGACGTACCAAGTTAATTGGGCAGAAAGCTGTAAAAGGCTGCTATAGACAGCAGGAGCTTTCGAAGAGCAATGTTTTTACTCAACAACAGAGAAGATCACGAGCAATTGTGGTGCCACCTGAGGACATGGTGTGAGGAATCCAGCGTGTGCACCCTGGTACGTAGCTCTGTCGAGTCATTCCCATCGGCACATTTTGCTTGAAAAACCTGCAGAAGGTTAAAGCAGGCAGAAAGCTTTAGATGTTGCAGGCAGTGGTGAGCAATCGAGCAAACTCAGCTTCAGGAGTCGTGAGCTGTCTTTTGGAGAGAGTCGTAGCGACTTAGAACTCTTAGAGTCTTTCTGGTTTATATAAGCAACAAACCAAGTGAGTTAATTTGATCAGGCTCTGGTTTCGATACGTAGTGGCTTTAACTGATACCTTTTGCTCATGTGAGGGGCAGCACAAGATCCTGTTTAATTTCTTGTCCTATTTTTGATTTCCTGAGCTCAGAGGGTGTTTTCTCGCAGAAGAGAGTCACAGCTTGTAAACCCTGGCAGAAGTCCTGGATAATTTTGAGAAGCAGGACAAAGAGCTTCAGTGACATTGGGAGTGTTTTTGAGGGAAGGTTTTGAGAGAGTGAGTAAGAAAATGATTTTTCTGACCCAGGTATCATGGACCAGGAGTCTGAATTAATGGGAGATTAGCCTGGAGTTTCAGCCAAGGAATGGCAAACCTCCAAAAAAGTGAGGCAGGCGTGTGCTCTTCTTGTAGCTTTAGAATCCCTTTCATCTTACTTTTTCCTTCTTCCACTGTAAATGGTGTTTTTCTAAGACACCGGTCTGGTTGCTGTACCAACTGCTCGGCAAAGCTCACTGAGCACTTTCAGATACACAACAGGACCGAGCCTGCCGATGAGCCAGAGGCGTTTAATCTCGGCTAATCCTGAGAGAACGATGTGCTTCCCTTCTGGGAGAGCTGGAAGGGAAGAGGAGGTTAACTTCCAGTGTAGCCGATGCGGTGACTGCTCCTTGCTGGTGAAGCGGCCGCCTGGCCGCGGAGCTGCGCTAGCCAGCTCTTCCCGATGCTGATGCGGCGGTGGGCTAGCCCTGAGCTCTGCCTGCTGCGTGAATATTCTCAAGCTGCCTGCGTAAATCCTTCTCGTTAAAAGCTAAGGACAGTTACTATGTGGCAAAAAAAATATAAATCCATTAGGGAAACTTTGAGAAATATTGGGGTTTATACCCAGGAAAATGTGGCTGCAGGGAGCTACTTTCAGCACATGGCTGCTGTCGGGTCGCTGCTTTCCAAATGTGAAGGAGTTGTGATCTCTGCTGGCTTTGCCTATGGAGAAGGACTTTGGAATTTAACTGAGCGTGCCGCCTGATTAGCTCAAGGCGAGCAGCAGATGATAAGGAATGCAACCTGGTAAATACAGATGATGGTTTTTTAATTGTTGAGTGAAGTCCGCAACCAATAAATGAAGCAAGAAGTGACACAGGATTCAGCAGATCATAGAATCATGGAATCATTTAGGTTGGAGAAGACCTTTAACATCATCGAGTCCAACTGCAGACCTAACGCTGCCAAGTCCACCGAATGAGAGTTTGAGATCAAGCTCCGGGGTGAGTGTTTGCACCAGAACACCACGGTTCTGTGGAGAGCAGCAGGGAACGGTCGCTTTGCAGGGCGGATACGCTGCGGCCGCTCTGGACAGCTCGTTACCGTGCATGTGTGTTAAATCAATACTGTGCGGACACAGCGACACCACTTAATTTTTGTTGTTTTCACTAATTCATAAAACCCTCATGGGAATCCCTGGCATAGGCTTTGATGCCTGCTGACGATGATCCGGTTTCGAGCAGGCTGAAGTTTTGTACATGAAATGAAAGCTCTTGGCACTGGGACGCGGGGTTCTCCCCCCCCCTTCCAAGTATCAGAACCGTAATTCTCAGGTTGTGCCATACTTAAAGTGAAAATGCTGAGGCTTTGTTAGAGGGTTTTTGTTTGCTTTCAGTGTGGTGGGGTTTTGGTTGGTTGGTTTGGCTTTGGAAGTCCCCTCCAACCATTTAGACGGCTTACACAGCAGTGTGACACGGGCTGAGGAAGTGTGGTGGCCTATGGTTGGGGGGGGGTGTGGTGGTTTTGGCTTTTTTTTTCTTTTTTATTTATTATGATCTGCTCAGGAATTTCCTGTTGCTTCTTCTCCATGGGAACGTGGCTGGGGGTGGCCAGGGCAGGTTCTCGAGCAGGGCTATACCTGGCAGAAGCCTGAGGGATTCTCAGGCTTGGTCTCGTTCGCCTTTGACAGGAAACGCGTTTGTAAAAATGCAGCTCGGGGGGAGGTTTGGGAACTGCTAACCTCGGCTCTTCTTGGGGTCCATGCTGAGGTTGCCACACGAACTCCTGGGCAGAAAGGCGTTTCCCACTACATCTAATCCCCTGATTATGCCTGTTGCTTACTGCCCACCAGAAAATGTCTCCTCTGTCCTCTGGTGAAGCTTCTGCTCCTTTGGCAGCCCCTGGCATTATTGCGGTTGTATTTTCTCCATGCGAGTTGTGTAAATAAG